ACAAAACCAGAGACTAAAACAAAACAAACCAACGAACCCAAAACCACAATAAAACAAAAGCCAGGCAAGTCAGGATGAATAGAAAAACATCGCTATTCTAGTTCCACAGGGTTCTGGGCTGAGAGGTAGCTCTGAGGGGCAGCTGCCCACAGAGGGACAATTTACCCAAAGAATTGAACCTACCAGGGCAGTGGGTTCCAGCAGGACCCCAGTGGGCAGTACAAAGCAAGATTTGGAAAACTGGCAGACAGAAACAGAGCTATTAAAAGAATCAGTGCTGGGTGGTGGTAAAGAACGCCTTTAATCCCAGCACTCGGGAGGGAGAGGCAGGCGGGTCTCTGTGAGTTCGAGGTCAACCGAGTCTAGAAAGCAAGTTCCAGGACAGCCAGGGCTTACACAGAGAAACCCTGTCTCGAAAAACAAAACAAAAAAAAAAAACAAAAACAAAAAAATCTCTGAGAGTATAATAGGGATAAGAACCAGAGAAGGACTTCTCCGCTGGTGTACCCCAGAAATGGTGTACCCAAGTGAGCGCCTTTCACCTGCGCCTAGCCAGCTGCGGTTGCATAAACCATCGCTGAAAGAAAAAGGAGACAAGAGACAGGATATTACCTTCCTGGGACTTCCGGGCAGGGTACCTCTTTCCTCCCCTTGCCTCTGTTTACCCATTCATACAAAGGGACTGTGTAAGCTAGGAACGTCGTGTCTCCTTAGCCCTTCTTTCCGTGGTGGCTGAACACATAAACAAATAGGAAATCACACCTACAGAATGGAGGAGTGGCTGAGGAGGCTTGGCTAAGCAGCTGCCCGTGTGGAGTGGGTTCTCTGAGTGGGTTCCGGCTTCCCCGTGAGTGCTGGTGGAGACACGCCACAGAGAAAGGGGTGGGAACAGTGGGAACTTCACTTTTTGGGAGACTTTTTTTTTTTTTTTTTTGCCTTGCACAAACAGCTCAACATCGAGTGAGTCAGAATTTCCGAAAGGCATAATTTTAGTGCCCTTCTTGCGGTTGCCTCTGAAAGGGAGGCCTCGGGCGGGGTTTCCTGTGCTCAATTCCAGAGATGACAGAGGGGCTCTCCCCCAGCCGTTTGCCAGAATTTTCTTTCCAGATACCGCTCTTTTTTTCTTTCTTTTCTTTTCTTTTCTTTCTTTCTTTCTTTTTTTTTTTTTTTAAACTTTGTAGCAGCAGTTAATGCCTTCCTAGCTGCGAATTCTCTCCACACTTGCACAGTCTCCTCAGGGTTTCTTCCCTGTGTGTGGGCTGCTTCGAAGTGGAAAGGGATCACTGAAGAAAACAAGGGCCTAGATGAGAGAGATGGCTCGGTGGGATAGGGATTTGCTGCAGACTGTGAGTTCAATTCCCGGGACCCACATGGTAAAAAGAACTACCAATTTTCACAAGTTGTCCTCTGACCTCCACATGCTCACTGTGGCACTGGACCCCTCCTTCTCCTTCAGTTAAATAAAGGAATGTAATTTAAAAACTATTTGGAGATAGCTCAGTGGTTAGGAGCACTGACTGCTCTTACAAAGGACCTGGGTTCAATTCCCAGCACCCACATGGCAGCTCATAACTGTCTGTAACCTCTGTCCCTCCCCTCCAAGATCTGACACCCTCACACAGACATACATGCAGGCAAAACACCAAGGCACACAAAATAAAAATAAATAAATTATAAAAAAAATAAAAACTATTTTTATTTTATTTTTACTGGAGCTGAGCGTTAAGTTGGCAGCATAGCACCCAGCCCTTTGCACCCATCCCAGACCCCTGGCCTGGGAGTTGTAATGCTCTGGACTCCAAATCCCAGCATGCCAAATCCTGACACCTTTTGGGGGGTGTGTGTGTCAGGACCTCTCCCTCAGGGTATTTAAGTGAGCTCCCAGGGGAGAAACACATGGTTTTGGGTTTGCATGGGCTCCCTGCTGTCCTGTCTCCCTGCCATGCGCTTGGCCACCCAAGAGCATCATTCTTAATAAAACGATGGGCATTTTGATTTGGTTTGATTTGACCTAATTGGATTTCTTGCACCAGCGGAGCTCCCCTTTTCTTATTATTTTTACTTATCATTGAGGATGGAACTCAGGCCATATGCATGCTAGGCAATGCTTGACCACTGAGCTAAGTTCCCAACCCTAAAAATATTAAAAAAAAAAAAAAAGCTGTAGTATGGGGGTAGCCCAGTGGGTTCCACCCAGAACCACATACCAATAAACACAAACACCAATGCGTAGTGAAGTCCTGGTTTGGATGGATGTACACAGCAGCTTTGTGAAAAGCGCCAAGTCCAGTAAAGACAAAGATTGCACGAACAGCCAACCTATCAGTACATATGCAATGCTTTGCGTCTGTCTGTGGTGTGTGCCTGTGTGTTTGCATAGAGGCCATCGTCTACTAGTCTACTAAGTGTCCTCCTCTATTGCACTCTGTCTTTTTTTTTTTTTTTTTTTTTTTTTTTTTTTTTTGAGGCAAGGTTTCTCGCTGCACCTGGAGCTTGCTTCAGCTAGACTGGCTGGACCGAGAACTCCTACAGTGTCCCGCCCCCACCTTAACAGGTGTGCCAACACATTGGGCTTTTTATGTGAGTGTTGGTGATGCACACTTAGGCTTCATGCTCGCGCAGCAGGTATTTACTCACTGAGCAATCTCCCCAGCACTTTAATATTTGATGGCATGCTACAGTTTTTATTTTATCATTTTTAAGTGTTTTCTCCTGTGCGATGTCATTGCCATCCCCTCTAGAATTCTAAAGAGTTACCTGGCTCACTCAGCTAAGAAACAACAGAAAGGCAAGGGTGGGAGCTTGAGTGTCTACCACTCTGAAAATCTTAGCCATGGTAGGGACCGCTGTGAACCCCTCTCCACATCCCCAGAGTCTAGCATATGGTTGACCTCCGGAGATGTTTGATGAAAGACGTTAATAATCCTATGCCAGAGACCCTAGCCACCACAACAGACTCAGAACCATAATGCAACAGCTCCTGCCAAGGGGTCCTCAGGACACCAGGCATAAAACCATACAAATGTCTGTTAGATCTTTTTAACAGAAGAGGAAACCAAGGCTGAGTCATCAGCTGAGGGTTGTGAATTGAGACGATTTTGCACCATAGTCCTGTTCCCCTCCCCCCAAGATAGAGTTTTTCTGTGTAGCCCTGGCTGTCCTGGAACTCTCTCTTTAGACCAAGCTGGCCTTGAACTCAGAGATCTGCCTGCCTCTGCTGGGATTAAAGTCCTGCAGCTCCTAGCTAACTGCCTTAGGCCAGCTTTCAAAGCAGGTCTGGTCAATGGCTCGAGAGTCATAGCAGCAGCAGAGCTCTACCCCAGTACAAAGTACCTGACCCCTCTAAGCCTTGCTGTCCTTTCAGACAAAGCTAATTAAACTTCTCTCAACTACGGGGAGGCTCTTTGTAAGGGTTTAACAAGGATGCTAGTTGAAAGCTTTCTGAAGAGCAGAAGCCTTAGCTAAAGGTGAGAATTATAGTAACAGTTAGTCATAGCCTGCTTGGCTGCTGTAGCCCCCGGGGCACACAGCAACACCTTGATGGGCTCAGGACCAGAGGTACTAGACCAGGGGAGGCCCTTTGTGTGGATCTTCTCAGAGCAATTGTGACTTAATGAATGGGCTGAGCCTCTGCACCCAGCTTCAAACTGGGTCCACAGCAGAGTTAATCCCTGGGAGTTAGGAGCTTTACCTAACTCCTGCCTCTTCCTCAACCCAGAATAGACACACACACCACACTCACTCTCTCTCTCACACACTTTCATACACAAACACACTCTCATACACATTCTCTCTCACATTCTCATTTGCTCACACACACTCATACACAAACACACTCACACACACACTTTCTCAAACACATTCTCATACTCTCTCACACATACTCTCTTACACACACACACACACACACACACACACACACACACTGGTCCTGTTTGACTTTAATCTCTTAGGACAGTGACTTTAACACTGACTTATTCTGCCAGCTCTGCTAAAACATCAAGGACGGGGAACACTGTGAATGTCCTTGGGCCTGTATTAGAGGCTCTGTTGACGTCTTTAAGTGGACTGTTCACGCCTGTACCGTGAAGACAGAGGCTCATGTGGTACTAGTTTTTCAAGTTGTGAACTCTTTGGCAGCAGGCTCTCCTTTCAGAAGCGACTCAATCAGGAGGATCTGTTACTGCCTGGAAGAGATGACTCCGGAGCCCCAGGGTGTTTTGTCTTTTTGTCTTTTTTTTTTTTTATGAGGTCTGAGGCGGGGAAGAGGAACGGGAGGGAGACGACTAATTGCAAACCCTAGGAGTCTGGCAGGTGGAGGAGACTGGCTCTAGGCATTTGCAAGTGCAAAGGCCCAGGGGCAGAGAAGAATACCACTTTCTTTTCAGAAGCAAGGTTGAGAGAGGTGGAGTCTGAAACAGGGATTGACCAATGGTGTGGGAGGGTGCTGAGGAGGGGTCAACAAAGAAAGGAGATGGACATTCTTGGGTTTTGGGTTTAGTGGGTGGATCACTGTATGGCTGGCAAGTAGGCTGGGGAGTGGGAAGAGATGAGTAGAGTACCTTCTATTAGGTTGATTGAGGGCTGTCGTTTTATTCTTGTATTTGGTCACCTTGTCTGTGTTCCCTGCTCTGCTTTGTGAGAGCAATACCTGTCATCCTCTGATGCCCTCCCCAAGTCTGGACAGGTGGAAGAATTACCTACCCAGACCTGTCTCCTCCTGGGTGGTCCCCACAATTCTCTGGAATGGGTTGGAACAGGTGAAGAAAATCCCGGATCGGAATGGTAGACCCTCTAGGCATGGGCACAGTACTCCCGCCCTCTTGTGCTTTAGGTTTGTGACTGGTAGCGGTGAGGTTCGTCCTCAGCCTTGGTTCCCCTTCTGCTGGGTGGCGGAGCTCCGGGCGGGGCTCCGGGCGGGTCCCTAAGGGGGCGGGGCAGTCGCGGTGTCCCCCGCCCCGCCCCGGCCTGGCCCGGCCCCGCCCCGCCCCGAAGCCGCCCGGGACGCAGGGCGCAGGAGGTACTCGGCCCAGCAGCCCGCGGCGCCGCGCTCCGCACGCTCAGGGCACGGTGAGTGCGGTCAGGGAGGCGGGAGGCCGCGCCGGGTCGGGGAGGGTCGCGTCCGGGTCTCCAGCGCACCCCTGTCCTGACGCGTCCCGGGAAATCGGCGCCGCGGGAAGTCTGGGGACCCCGGGAGGAGCGCGGGGGCGGCGGCCAGCGTGACAGCTGCGGGCGGGCGGGGCTTCGGTTCAAATGCAACCGCTTCACCCGCTGTGAAATCCTGGCACCCTAGAGACTCGGCGGCAAAACGCCGCAGTGCCTGGGGTAGCGCGTCCTGGGGGCCAGGTGTCTTCCCTCTTTGCCTCTAGAGGCCGGAGGACTTACTAATGCTCTCTCATATCCCCAGGGCCCGGAAAGTCCCATTCTGGGGACCACGAGCTCTACCAGGAGAGCCTGAGAGCGCACAGAGAGGAAGGGACGTCCCACCCGGTGCGCTTCGTTTCCTTTTCATCAGCCACCTACCTGCTGGGCGAGCGGCACAGTCTCGCTGATCCCCCTCCTACATCTCTAGATGTAGGGGGAACTAGATGTTGGCTTCATTTGAGGTCGATCTGGAGCGCGATCCGAGGCCGGGTGTCTCACACAGCCTGGCTGGCCCCTGCTTCAAAACTGTTCCAAAGGTGGTAACATTTAATCTCTGGCTCTGCGACACTTTCCCTGTGTCTTAGAGACCTGCTTCATCTCTGTAAGGATGGCTTCTTTCTATAATGAGTAGGCAAAGTGTGCTTGTGGGGTGGCTTTAGTGCCACGGAGGGCACACGTCGTACCTCATGGGTGGGAAAAAGCGACTCGTCTTCTTGGCGGGGAACTGTGTGTCACATTGGCTCTGTAACCGAAATGGACAGCCCCTTTCATCTACCCAGAAAAGAAGAAACACGTTGAGAAAGGGGGCGTGACCTGCTCAAGGCGGCACAACCAGGATCCACGTTACGGGAACTTGGCAATATGAAAGGGCTTAGTTTTGTCTCTTGCTGGGGGGAGTGGGGGGAGAGGGAGGGAGAGCCGGCAGCTCACAGAGGTCAGGAGCTAGGTTAGGAGGCAGGAAGGTGCATCTGTGCCAATGGACTGTTTTGCTGGCTTTCCTATGAACTGTGCTCTGGACCGACACTCCAACACACGTGGGCTGGCATATTCCCTCTGGCCTGCTGACAGTTACAGCTGAGCCAAGCTGCTCCCCGGGAGCCAGAGAGGCCCCTCAGGGGGTGGCTGTGTAGGAATGTACTAGGAGGCCTTATTTCTGGAGTCACTGAGGGAGGGATGAGAACCCAGGATCTTTATCCCCCTCAGTCCCGAAAAGATCTCAGGGTGTGGCAGAGTTGTTCTTTCTCCATGGGAACAACTGTTTACCCTCCTTGGGGGTTTTGCATGCTTTGGAGTGACTATGGACCCCGCCCTGCCTGGACAGCCCCTTTGCCTAATGATACAGAGACCGGTGGTTGTTGTGGGATCCTGGTATGGCCACTCTGGAAGGCATGACTGGGCAGGGGGACCATTGCCTCCAAAGGTCCCTGGAGTCTGTAAGCCCAGAGGCCTCTGGCCTCCTGTGTTCATCTTGCTGTAAGGGATGGGGGTGACCAAATCAGATGGCCACTTTGGCCTCACCTAAGTATTCGGCCTTAGGCTGGTCATTTCACTTGTCAGTTTTAGAAAAGGGGGTACCCCAGATCCCCACAGTAACTTTATCCATGAGGCATTATGAGCAGTAGGAGAGATATTCACAGTGTTTCCTGGGGTGTGGATGGATGTATCAAAGGTGAGCGATTCTGTGGTTTGGTGTGTGTGTGTGTGTGTGTGTGCGCGCGTGCGCGGGGGGAGGGGGGAGGTTGGGGGTGCTGATCAGGCTACCTGAGGGCTCTGCTATGCCTCTTTCCTCTTTGTCTTAATTTCCCCAAATCTGTCTGAATCACTCCCCTGGGATCCTCCCACTATTGGAAGCTTGTCCTTGATTCTGGGGGGGAGGGAGATCAGAGAGAGTCTATAGGGCATTCAGGTGTGGCTGTGGAGTCTTAGGATTAATGTATCCTGTTGTTTACTTCCTGTATCCCTGGCGAGAGGCAAGGATGCCATTGCTGGCAACTACAGATAGGGGACCGATAGTGCTATTCCCTGGCTGTGTCCCAGGGTTTGGACTCCAGACCTTTGACTCGCCGGTCGTGTTTGAACTCTAGACCTTTGACTCAATGTTGTTCATTACTTTACACATCCTATATTGGACAGTCCAAGGACGATGTTGTATGCTAGCCACTGGAAAAACTGCAGATCAGGCAGGTCCAGTCATCATCAAGACATTGATGGGAAGAAATGAAAAAATGGATTGTGACCACCCCCTACCCCAATATGTTTTAGTGCCAAGACAGGACCCAGGAGGAACAGATTTCTGTAAGGGGTATGACACCTCCCAACCTCAGGATTCTTAACTTTGGGTTTCGTAACCATTCCTGAGACTGTGCAACTCGGAATCAGATGGGGACAGGTCTCCAAATCCGGAGCCCTGATTTCATTTCTAAGGTGATACCACCCACTTCTGGTTGCTGAGAAGATAAGTCAGGGCGATGCTTGGGGGAACCTACCAGAGGCAGCAGTCCAGGCCCATACTCTTGCTTGTTTTTCTATTGCCCTTATGACCTAGTGTCGCTGGGATCCCACTCTGCCTGGTGTCCAACTGCAGATTCCTAGCATCTTCTTAACCGGAAATCACATGCCACCATGGTGTGACAAGGAGCAGGACTAGAATGTTGGCCCTTAGGAAAGAAGTCATTTTTCAGTCATTTGGTTTGTACAGGTTCTAATTTGTATAGCATTTGTGTCCATCCTAATTTACACATGAAACTTTTTTTTTTTAAAGAGCAAGGGTCTCTTATAAACTAGGGTACCCTGGAGTAGATAGACAGCTAAGGAGGACCTTGAACTCCTGTCTCTACCTCCCCTTGCTAAAATTATGCCATACAAGTACCCCGCCAATTGAGCTACATTGTTTATTTTGAGACAGCGTCTTGATATGTAGACAGAGTAGGCCTTGAACTCCTGATCCCCCTGCTGCAGCTCTACAGTGCTGGGGTTGTAGACATGCCTTGCCACATCAGTGTAAGGAGGTGTATAAAAGAAAAAAAGGGCAAGCGGTGTTAACATAAACCATTGTGGCTGTGTGAGGGACAACGTGAGAGATGAGCCTGTTCCCTCCTCTGTTCTTTTTCTTCAACCCGGTGCAGGCCTTGTGTGTATATATATTTTAAAAAGTATATAGACCGTTTATTACAGCATCTGTTGTATGTAAATGCACACGCATGCCGTGACCCACATTTGAAAGAACAACTTTCAGGACGTGGTTCTTTCCCTCCACCATGTGGGGCTGGGGGATGGCACTCGGGTTCTCAGGCTTGGCTTCAAGTGCTTTAGCCAAGTCATCTCCATGTCTATTTTAAAGTATTTTCATATACCATCATTACAAATAGGAGCTTTACTCTCCGTCCCATCAAATCTTACATAGTATAAAAAACTGAAAGATAGTAAGCATGTTCCGAGTCTTTTAGAAAATTATTCACTGGACTCAAATGTTCATCTGGCTGGGTTTAAAAGAACAAACAATCCCTTGTGTGACACATGAGTTCCCTTTATTGCGGGGACACAGTCTCCCTCTCCATTTGTCCTGCAACACCTGGCAGTGGCACAGCTGGGAATCTCAAAATAAAAACAGAATGTCTTAAAGTTCTGGCCTAATGATTTATGTTTCCAAATTATGAATCGTGATATGTTTGAGCTGGGAGGGACCTCAAGTCACCTGGTCCAGTTTGCTGGTTTAACAACCCTGAGAAGTGCCCTGGCCAAGGGCAACATAGGACATGAATGTACATAAGGAGGACAGTGCACAATGGCTAGCCACACCTGTGCGTGACTCTCATGGGGATACCACCTGTCACGCTAGCCTGTCGCCCTGGGACTGCAGCTGCCTCCTGAGGGCAGGCAGGGAGGCACAGGTGTCCTGTCAGAGGTGACATTGATTTGACTGAAGATGTCAGGGGAGCCACAGTGTGCAAGGTGACTCGAGCAGAAACCTCACCGAAGGTGGTACACGAGCTTGGCTGAGAGTCCTGTTTCCGAGTCCACTAAGGCAGCTGCTCTTTCTCCTCCTATTTGATAATTCATTCCCAGACTGCACAGTGCTCTGGGAATGGTCAGTCCTGGTTTGCTGTTGCTAGGGAAACAGGTTCACAGAGATGGGCGATTTCCTCCAAATCCCGCTGCAGGTGAGGGTAGGGCAGTGAGATCTGAAAAGATGGCTGTTTTGTTTTCTCGTGTGCTGGGCTGTGAACACATTGTTTTTGCTGCCAAGAAGCAGAAAGTCTGGCCAGCCCAGCCTGGCAGGCCACAGGGAAGTGGCCTTGTAGAAGACAGATGGGCGGGGTCCTTGTAGCTGTCATGCTGCAGGACTCTCTGAGCTGACAGCTCCTGCCTGGCCACACTGCACCATGCACAGAACACACTGCCTGCAGGACAGAGGCAGGGTGCGCCCGAGGTCTGCCTGGTTTTGTCCGGTGTATCTGGTGTACCCTCAGATTCCTAGCAACCTTCTCCGCTCCCACCGGAAGGTGTTCTTCCTGCCTGCCCGCTGGAGAAGTATCTGTGTGCTTATGTTTCCTAAGTACCTTACGCATAAGGTATTAGTGCCCTTGTGTTTTGAACACAGGCGGTCAGGTGTGGCATCATGGTGGTGCTTGCAGAGTTCTGGATTTTGGAGATTGGGAGTATTCAACTTGTGCTTAGAAGTCATAGTTGCAGTGGAGAACAAGAGAATCCCAGAGTTCTAGATAGCCTTGTCTGAGCCTGTAATTTTACATACAGGGAAAATGAGTCTTCACAAGCAGATAAAGTTGTCGTGTTTGTGTGTGTGTGTGTGTGTGTGTGTGTGTGTGAAAGAGAGAGAGAGAGAGAGAGAGAGAGAGAGAGAGAGAGAGAATATGTTTGGAATGTAGGGGCCAGACATCAACCTGGGAAGTTGTTCCTTAGGAGCT